CCCGGGCAGGCACTGGCACGGGCGGGACTCGCTGCTGCAGGGTCGTGGGGCCAATGGCTTTGGTGTCCGGAGCCTGCTGCCTAAGCCTGACTTATTTCCCTAGGGCTGGGGTCCCTGGCGCCTGCCCGGGGACCTGCGGAGGTGCCCTGGGCCGTGGTAACGTTAAACCTTCTTTTACACTCTCCCCAGCACTTGTCCTCGGATGCCTGGTGGCAGTGAGTTTCCCTGATAGTTGTGTAAAAATGTTTCTTTTTTCCGGTTTTAAATTTGCTGCCTTTGGATTTCATTGGCTGAACTCTTGTTCTTATGTTAAGGGAGAAATGAGCAGCGGTATCTGATCTCGCTTCTCTGTGCCAGTCAGTATTTTATACGTTTCTCTTGAGAATCTTCTTTGTTCATCTCCTTTAAATGTCTTTGTCTCCAGTCATTTTTATCTTCCATGTCTAGAGTTTGTCTGTTTCTTCTATATCCTACTGGAGATAGAGTGACAAGAGCAAAACGGTATTCAGGTGCTATACTACTGAGCAATAAATCTGGCAAAGTTAAAAGCACTGAAATTCATCTGTCATTCATAGCAAGATTCCTATACATGTCAATTCCTTTTAGAAAAAAACTGTTTCTAAGAACAGGGATGTCATCTAGAGTCTTATGTTCTTAATTATTACCAGCTAATGTGTTCAACATCTAGTATAGACAAAGCCCCAGTAGTTTTTTTTAACATGTGTAACGTGTTTGCTGGTGGAGAAAAGCTAGTGGGGAGCTCATGATGATGCCTGTGTATGCTCCAAAATAAATTTTACAAAGGCAAACTTTATAATATTCCTACTTTAGAGCTAGCACAGGGTCAGGAAGACATTTTTGCTCTACTCATTGGGTGTGAGGCTGATTGCTGGCTTGAGTCAGGAGGAAATCACACCTATCCCTAGGGGGATGAGGTTGATTAGAAGACATTTTCCTGTGCTCCTGGGATGATGCTGATTGCTGGGTGAGGTCAAGAAGAAACAGCTCTACCCCAAGGTTAGTCTGTTGTTCAATTGGATATTTTTGTGAGTGGTTTTACCACACTTTTCTCTGAAGAATCCAGCATTGGTTGCAGTTAGAGATGAGATCCTGAATTTGCCAGACCATACTGTTGTATCTTGTGTTCCTAATTCTGCTATCCTTCCTACTTGTATACGTTTGGCATTTAGATCTGGGAATCGTCATGTTCACATGTATGTATGCTTGTCAAAAAGAGAAGTACTCCGTAGGGAGATATGAGGTTTTGAATAGCACAATAGATTCTTATGCGAGAGATCCCAGGGAAAGGAAGAGTACTATGGGGTACACCGGGCTTCTCAAAAATGGAATGTGGTTGAGAGGTTAGCTCCTGAGAGAGAACGAACACTGGGGCAGCTAACTAGGAATTACAGAACCTTGTAAATCCTTGTCAGAAGTATTGGGATTTTCAGAGGTTACTGCAGGGCTGATTGAATGAGGTTTTGGAAGAATTTGCTGGCTGCTGTTTCCATTTCCTCTTTAGTAAAATAACTCTTCTATTCTGCGCAGTATTCCACTGTGGCTCTGTGAACAGGCCATGAGCTTCCAGGGAAAATAACTGTAAACGTTTTTCCAAGTGCATGTAAAGTGTCATCATGATGGAATGTGGGCTTGTGCCAAAAAGCTGCTAAAGCCATTTTGTCTGAAAGGGCAGAGCTACTGACTTTGAGTGGGAGGAGGCAGAAGCAAAGTGAACTCACTGCCACGCACAGAGCACTTGAGAGTTGTTTTGGAGAGCTGGGATGAACTTTCCAGGTGCGTTGGTTGAAACAGATTGCAGAAAGAACTAGAAGTCTCCTTCAGCTTTAGCAGGGAGACTTGGCAGTTTCAGGAGCATCTTATGTAACTATTTGGTTTTATCTCTCCTTTTTTCTGACTTGCAGAAGATTTGTGTCTTGGTGCAAATCAGCATTTCTAGTTCTGTTTGTATTTTCACAGAGACTAGTTGCTGCTGAGTCTGCTGTATAAGTTCCTCGGGAGGAGGCCAAATTCTGAGCTTGCACACTGGGAAGGGAAATGTGATCTATTTTCATGGCTTTGAATTCAACACCCTACAGTCACTTGGAGTGATTTAATGACAAAATTTTAGCTCCTCTTTTCCTCTTTCACTTTCTGTTGTGGTATCTGTTGTTTCTGTGGTGAGAATACTTTTAGCCATATACTCGAAAGCTGTGATTGAAAGAGATAAGCAAAGCTAACCCTCTTCAGTACTTGGATAGGAGACCTCCACAGAGTATGTTGGTGCCAGAGAGGGGGGTACTGGTGATTATGTCAGGGACGCTTTTTTTCTTTGAGGAGGCCTCAACCAGTGATGCCAGCATGTAGATGACTACACAATTAACCGACAAGCTTGAGCTTATTGATTAATGCATTCTCCCCTCCCCTTGCTGCAAGGAGGGGAGTGAGAGCTGGTGCCTGTGAGGAGCTGGCTTTAAAGCTGGTTCTCCATCCCCATGCTGCTGATAAAGAGGCAGCGGTGCGGAGGGTGAAGGGGGCAGGTTAGAGTCAATATGCGCAGGGAGCCAGCTTTCAAGCCAGCTCCCCATGCACATGGGCTCCTGTGGACCCCCCCAGGCGCAGGGTCTGCTCTTGGGCAGCAGCCTCTGTCTGCGGGGAGTTGGGACTCCCCACAGACAGAAGCTTCTGTTACCCCTTGCTGCTGCCTCTGTATCAGAGGCAACAGCACAGGGTGGCAGGCAGCTGTTTTGTGCAGGGAGCTGGTTTTTAAACTGCCTCCCCTTGCAAACCTGCTCCTGCCTGCCACCTCACCCTGCTGCCTCTGATAGAGGGGCAGTAGCACAGGGTTGCAGGGGGCTCCCTGCGAGCTCCCCAGGGACAGAGGCTGCTCTGCATTCCATGGAAGGTTTTTAAACTGCCTCCCCTTGCAAACCTGCTCCTGCCTGCCACCTCACCCTGCTGCCTCTGATAGAGGGGCAGTAGCACAGGGTTGCAGGGGGCTCCCTGGAAGTGGGGCTGGGAGCACACTGGCTGCTGGCCTCACCCCTGGGGGCTATTGAATAATGGTGTAACTGCTAAGATTTCAAGCGGTTACACAACTATTCAATTACACGATATCTAACATCCCTAATCCTGATCCCAGTATGATGCGGTGCTGTGCTGTTGGAGCTGCTGCTCTTCAAATTAAGTGTTTAAATAAAGCCCTGACTATTTGTGTCTGTTGCATATATTGAATCTTTCATCCACTGCCTCAAGAACAATACAGGTTTGCTTTAAATCCCAGCAAACCTGGTACTTTTAAAATTCTTCCTCATTGTTCTGGAGCATCTCAGATGCCGTCTGTCTGTCTGTCTCTTTCTCTCTCTAGTTGTTTATCTGGTTCCCATTGCTATGGTAGCTGAGGTTTATAGTAGGGAAAAATGGCAGGAATAGGATATGAACTTACAACTTCAATGACGTCATCATGTAACTCTCTCTACTCCCTTAGCACTTTGGTCCTGAGACTGCGTGTGTCCTGACTCCTACTTCCTAGCTTTCAGTGGTGTATTTGAGGTGACTATTTAATCTGGCTTTCCCTGTAGGTACATTTAGAGATGCTCACAGGCACTGAGAAGTTTCCTGCCTAGTGAAAAGTCTGTAGCAGTGGAATACAGAATCAAGGATACTATGGGGCTATGAATTGCAAGTTGTAAAGCAGTGGGACTTGGGTCATGCTAAACAGGCAAATCCTGGGATGCGTTCTAAGCATCTTTCTGGGCATAGAGGTAGATACAAGTGAATTGTTTGTGTGTGGAATCCCTCACTGCTTTGTCATGAATTCCTTACAGGGGGGGGGGGAGGGCAAGGAACTTGGGCCTTTGGTCTCTTACAGTTCACCTGGGGAAGATGATGTATAACTTTCTTCTCCGGTTGTGTTAATAGAACAAACGCTAAGTTGCAGATAGATAATTGGCATAAGTGGAAGTAGGAGAATCTTTTTGCTATCCCTTAAGCAACTGTCGTCTCATTTCCGGAAAAGCAATTCTAGTCTCCCTAGTCATCTCCCAAGATTTCTTGCTAGAACAACTGCTAAGAGATCTTCGGGTAGCTGTGCTCCATGCTATGAGCCTTTGACATTTGCTGTTTGTCCCTCATATACCTGTCTCTAAATAGGATTTTTGTTGTTTAGACTAACAGAGCTTCTGGTGTCCAAATTATTTGCCATTTGGTCTGGGACAGAAGAGGGGACCCACATTTTAGTGGTTCTAACCCAGTTTGAGGAGGATGAGCAGATGGGTGGGCCTTCCCTTGTGTGACTTACGCTGTAGTGGCAATTTCTCTTCCAGCCTGATCTTCTGCTATGGTCCACAATGTGACAGTGCACTCCCACAAAATTATAGCTGTGTGGCAGAAGTGGGGACATGAGAGGTTGGGGCCTATTTCAGCTAAGGAAGTGAATGGGTAATGGGTTAATCCAGGGGCACTCAAACTTTGTGATACCACAACCCCCTAAAATGCTAAATGAATTTGTGTGACACCACCCCTTTCCCCTCCCCCCTCACTGCCCTGGGTCGCTTCCTCCCCCTTCTCACCAGACTCCTTGCCCTCCTGGGGTTCCTTCAAGGCATTTGCAGTCCTCAACGCCCTTCCCCCCTGCAAGGTCTTTTTCTTCTGTGCCTCTTTTCTGCTCTGCGACCCTTTGGTTCCTTTTCTCTCTCCTCTCCTCTCCTGTCTCCTCTGACCCCCAAGAGCCCTTATTTACCTCTGGGTCCTCTGCCCTGATCCAGTCCCCCAGCCCCCAGTTGCCTGAGGGACCCCACTCTCTCCTAGCTGGGGAAGCATTCGGTCGCCCGGCAACTGTGCCCCAGCCGGCACGTCCGCCTGAGTCTCCCGCCACCTTGCCTCCTCCTGAAGCTGAGCCACGCTCCTGGAGTCCCGCAGCCCTGGACATGCTGTGTGGCTTGCCGGTGGCTGCCTTCCGCCACCCTGCCGCTCTTTGTGGCCTAGGGGAGAGGGGTCGCAAGTGAAAAACTGAATCCAGCCGCGACCCCCCTCTAAGTTGTGTGACCCACAGTTTGAGAAACGCTGCACTAAGGGTACCAGTTTCCATTAGGCACAGAATCAGACTGGAAATAGTGCTGAACTGTCTGGCCTTTTATAAATGAAATACTGTAAATTCTGACTCCTTTGCAGTTGATTTGGTGGAGAGAAGATTGTGCTCTATGCTTTCCTCATTCAGCCCCCTGACTTCTAGCTATTTCTGCCTTTATTGCATGTGAAACCATCTGTCCACTCTGCACTCATGAAATGGGAGGATGCTTATTCAGATACTTTAAATGGTTAAAACGTTCAGAACTCTGTTCTTTTTGGAGGACTCTCCAGACTCCTTAGCTTTACAATAGCTGTGCAGGGCTGTAGCTAAGAGAGTTAGACTGTATGAAGAAACCCAGATGGCCTGGAAGTGTCCCAGATGCATCCTATTGACAATACAGGCAGGCCCCGACTTACGCGGATCCGACTTATGTCGGATCCGCAGTTACGAACGGGGCTGCCCCGGAGGACACGGACTGCGGGACCTTGCGGTCCTGCCGCCCATGTACTCCGGGGCTTTCTCCGCGTCTCCCTGGTCTGCAGGCGCGCCTGGGCTGCCCCGCTGCCCAAGCCCCTCTGCGGCTTTGCAAAGCCTGGGGAAGCCGGCAGCGGAGCTGCCTCGCTGCCCAAGCCCCCTTGCGGCTTTGCAAAGCCTGGGGGAGCCGGCAGCGGAGGCGC